TGCTCCCTCTCCAATGGGTGACAGCACTGTCTCTCCAATGGGTGACAGCACTCCCTCTCCAATGGGTGACAGTGCTCCCTCTCCAATGGGTGACATGAATCACCCAGTCATTCAGTGAGTCAACGGCAAGGCCAGGACTTGAATCCAGGTCTCACGGCCCCAAAGCCTGTGCCCTCTGGCCTGCTGGGCGTGAGCCAGAAGACACCAGATTCTTGTGTGGGCAGTGGAAACATAAAAAGGACACGAGCACCACAACTACCTTTATGTCATCTAGGAATTCGATGTCTTCCTTCCCTATTGCTTTGTTTGTCCATATTAAGGCACTGTAGGTCTTGGTCTTTTCTTCTTCACCTTCTTTCATATGTCCTATTGCCTCTCTAAACAAAAACAGTAACAGAAAGTTTCTCTGAATATGTAAAATGCACATAAGACTTGCCCAAAACTTCCCCTTTAAAAAAAACAAAACAGCTCTGTTGAGATATAATTTACATACCGTATAATTCACCCATTTTAACAATACAAGTCAATGATTTTAAGCATGTCTACAGAGTTCTACAGCCATCATCACAATTAATTATAGAATGCCTTCATCAGCCCCAACAGAAACTCCACTCTGTACCATTAGCCCTCACTCCCCATCCCCCATCTTCCCAGTCCTAGACAACCACTAACTGACTTTCTATCTCTATACATTTCTCTGTTCTGAAACTTTACATCAAATGGGATCATACAATATACTGAGTTTGGTGTCTGCTTCTTCACTTCATGTTTTCAAGGTTCTTCCACGTTGTAGCAAGTATCATCAGTACTTTATCCCTTTTTATTGCCGGATAATAGTCCACTGTAGGGATTTACCACATTTTCTTTATCTGTGCATCAGTTGGTGGCATTTGGGTTGTTTCTACTTTTTGACTATTTTGAATAATACTACTGTGAGCATTCACGTACAAGTTCTTTGTGTAGGCATATGCCTTCATTTCTCTCGAGTACATATCTAGAAATGCAATTGAGGGGTCATACGGTAATTCTATGTTTGACCTTTTGAGAAAATGCCAAAGTGTCTTCCAAAGTGGCCATGCTTACAATCCCACCAGCAATGTATGAGGGTTCCATTTTCTCCACATCCTTGTCAACACTTGTTATGATCTATCTTTTTTATTATAGCCATCCTAGTGGGTGTGCAGTGGGATCTCCTTGTGGTTTTGATTTGCATTTCCCTAATAGCTAATGATGTTGACCATCTTTTCATGCTCATTGGTTATTCACATATATCTTCTTTGGAGAAATGGAGATCCTTTCCCCACTTTTAATTGAGATACTTGATTTCTTGTTATTGAGTTATAAGAGTTCTTTACATATTCTGGATACAAGTCCCTTATCAGATATATGACTTGCAACCGAAACTTGCCTGGTGAAATCACATCCAGTGAGTCTACCCTTACCTTGTGACAAGCTGCAAGTCCCGCACTTGGATTTTGTCAGACGAGTTATTAATTTTCTGTGGTAGCAGAAAAAGAAAAACAATTAGCAACTCTAGCTCAGCCACAGAGTTGCAGAAACAGGACGATTTCCATGTCATGGAAATGGTTTACCTGCTGAAGCTCCTTAATGTCCTGTGAAGTGAAATGTACTCTATGAGGATTCACCAGCTCAACTGCAAAGGGCCTTCCTGGCAGCACACACCCACATGAAACAGAAAGGTGTTGATGGAGTTAACATCTGGGCTAATGCAAGAGGGTTAGGAGGTGTGAAAAATAGGTGGGGCTCTACCGAAAGTTTACTGACGGGACTGTGTCTGGGGGAGGAAAGAATGTGTGAAAAGAATCAGGGGCTTTCTCGGAGGATGGCGGTGCTGCTACACCCAACTGCAGGCAGTATGTGAAAATGACTGTTTTCCCAAAGGTCCTCTGAACAAGCCTGTGTTCATTACAAAGTAAAATCTAAACACCCACTAACTGAGTTGGTTTCTGCCACATGCAGCAATGCCCAGGTGAGCCGTGCTGAAGTCCGTCCTCCCAGCCTAACCTGCAAGTGAAAGGGACACGCTGTGATTCCCTGAGCGGAAGGGGCCGCACATTTCAGATTGCTCGGGACTCACTCTGACCATCTTTGTTGTAAAGCAACATGTAAAATGAGAGAAATAAGGGCTAAGAGAGCAGAATCACTTTTCAAATGAAGAAATGCATTTTGAAAACTGTACTGGTACTGCTGAAATGGTATTAAATGGAACAACTAATAATCCAACTTTGGGGAAAAAAATTAGGCACCGCCTTGTTAATGAATATACTGGTAGCCCCTTATAACCTACAGGTACGCAGTCAGAACAGGAAGAAATGAGTCCTGTTAAGACATATATTGCATATTTATAAAGGTAGCTCCATAACATAGAAAGCTTCCCACTTGGAGAAGCTCTGGGCTCTGTCCCGCTTTGGTTTTGCCTAAGAGACTACGGTAAGCCGGCGGTCAGAAAAGGGTGATAATGGGAAAGTCAGTTCTAGTCTGGGGATGCTGTGGCCATCTTACCATTTCCTAACGTTCTCACATCAACATCTTCTCTTCCAGAGGATGAAAAATTAAAACCTTTGGAAAGCAGATAAAGGGAGAAAAACATCAGAGACATTGTAGCTGTAACACACTGGCTCCCAACCTTTGGGAGAGACCCAATCTAAGGTCTTGGACAACCAATAGGAGAACCTCAAGGGATAGTTGTCATCCCACTTAACCTCTAATAAAAATAGTAATGACAATAATAAAGCATTTACCATTGATTGAGGGCTTATTATATGCCAAGCACTAGGCTAAACATTTTGCACGCATTATTTCATTTAGTCCTTATGAAAGCCTAAGGAAATAGGTATTAAATAAAAGAACACTGGGCCTCAGAAAGGGTAGATAACTTTCCCGAGGTCACACAATCAAATTGCAGAGCTAGACGTTTCTGCCCTCAAAGGCAGACCTTCACCATTGTCCCTTGCCACCAACCCATGGGGAAGCCACCATCCTATGGGAAAGCCACCACCCCATGGGGAAGCCGTCACCCCATGGGGAAGGCACCACCCCATGGGGAAGCCACCACTCTATGGGGAAGCCATAAGCAGAGAGCCATTGAGAGGCATTCTCCCCCACCTGGCCACAAGCGGATGGTAAAAACTCTATCATTTTTCTTTCTTTAAAACAAAGCAAAAACATTTGTTAAAGAATTGAACTCCATGAAAGGAAAAGGAAGGGGGAAAAAAGGTTTGATTCTTTTTTAAAAAAACAGCGTGGATTCTAAGATAAATGGATCCTCACAGATTAAAAGGTGCAAACATTGGAAGGGGAAAATGGTAAAGAAAGGGTTACACAGCAACTTCTTCAGACCAAGAGTTGACTGATGATTCCATCTTTAGCACCACAGCAAAGCTGACTGTGAGCAGGTATTACTCTATATGCTTTATTATGTTAACACAGCCCTGGTGGTGCAGAGGTTAAGGGCTCGGCTGCTAACCAAAAGGTCAGCAGTTCAGTCCACCAGACGCTCCTTGGAAACCCTATGGGGCAGTTCTACTCTGTCCTACAGGGTGACTGTGAGTTGGAGTCGACTCGACGGTTACAAGTTTTGGTTTGGTTTTTTGGAATGAGGTAGATACTGTGGTTATCCCTATTTTACTTATGAGGAAGCTGAGACAGAAACAGGGTAACTCACTTGCCTACAGTCACAGAGTTGGTAAGTGGAAGGGTCAGGACATGAAGCAGGCAATCCGCCTCCAGGCTCCACTCTTAACCGCCATGCTAGACCGCACCCCACAAAACCAGCCCAAGGGGCTCAAACTCATGCCCGTGGGGACAAGCAGACCAGAGACTGGGAAAGGGTGGGATGTTTTGGGAACCCTGACTGCACGGTCAGTCATTAAGTGGTAAGGTTTCAAGTTTCTCAGCACAGAGGCTGAAGGCTGCAAGAACTTGAGCTCACACCTTGATTTATGAAGCCGGTGAACACGCAGCTACGGGTTGCCTAATGCATGCGAGGCTCTAGACGCTGGGGAGACGAAGGTGAACAAGGGGGACACAGTCTTCACCCTCACAGAGCTTACTGTTTGTGGATGGATGTGGATTGTAACGGGGGCAGGGGTGGTTCAGTGGTAGGAGTCTCGCCTTCTATGCAGGAGACCCGGGTTTGATCCCCAGCCAATGCACCTCGTGCGCAGCCACCACCCGTCCGTCAGGGGAGGCTTGCGTGTTGCTGTGATGCTGAACAGGTTTCAGCGGCGCTTTTAGACTAAGATGGACTAGGAAGAAAGGCCTGCTGATCTGCTTCTGAAAATCAGCCAGTGAAAACCCTGTGGATCACAACGGTGTGATCTGCAACTGTTCATGAGGATGGCGCGGGACTGGGCAGTGTTTCGTTCCATTGTGCGTGGGGTCGCCATGAGTTAGGGGCTGACTTGACGGCGGGTAACGACAACAACATGGCCTATCAACAACGGGCAGGGACAGCACAGGAGAAGTACACGAACCTTCCTGCACTAAGGGCACAATGCTAATACGACCTAGAGGCTTGTATTCACTCCTTACTGTTCCAGCCGCGCTGGAGAGCACGAGATGAGGAAGGACAAGCTTGCTGGGAAGAAGAGACGGAAAAGGCAGGGTGGAGGGGTGGGGGGTTGTATACCATTCTGACAGCCATTTTTCTCCCAGGAAAAGATTCTATATGCAAAGGTCCCATGTCGATTTTAGAAAATGAGAGGCTAAAAGCCTTGAGAAGTCCCATGAAAACAGTACTGAAGATTAGCCCTCCTTTTTGGGATGGTCAGATATGAAGACTAACCCGGATGGCACAGTGGTTAAGAGCTTGGCTGCTAACCAAAAGAGCTCTTAACCACTGCACTAACAAGGCAGGTAACCACAAACACCAAACCTGTTGCAGTGAAGTCGATTCCAACTCACGGCGACCCCAAGGGTTACAGAGTAGAACTGCTCCCCAGGGTTTTCTTGGCTGTAATCTTCACAGACGTACGTCTCCAGGCCTGTCTTCTGTGGTGTCACTGGGTGGGTTTGAACTGTCAACCTTCAAGCGAGCAGTCGAGAACAAACTATGCGCTCCCAGGGGCCCAGGGAGTAGGTAGCTGTTGCTAAATGGAGCGTTCAGAATGGCATCTGGGAAGCTGAAAGATGCGGACTCCCTGACGTATGGTTGTCTTTCACTTGCCCACTCCCATCTCCCCACCAGCCATAATGTCAGGAACCAGGGGGCTCCATGGAGCCAGAACCTGTGACTGCTGGGTGGAGGGAATAGGCGGTAAACAAAGAGGTAGTTCTACCAGTTACTGCTAAATCAGACCAGAAATCTCAAATTCATGGTTAGCCCATAAAACTGTTCTCCCACAAATTCCACCCCATCAACAAGAAAGAGCTGCAGAAAGGAAGGTCAGTGAAGCCCAAACCCAGACTAAGGGAAAGGGGGATTTATTACACCTTTAGGAACATGTTTCAAACTGGTAAACTAAGGAAGACATCCTTGAACCTCAGGCTGAGAAACACTTTTGGGAACAAACCTTAGAACTTTATTAGGGTGCAGTGATGACTGACAGCAGACACAGAGGAAGAAGACCCACTGCCTCAGGGATTAGGAAAGACACGATTAAAACTGGTTTGGGTTTTCTGGACTCACATTGTACCTTCCCTTAGCCTTCTAACACTGTGAGTTATTTGAGGCTTCTGCTCAAAGGAACAGAGATTTCAAAACCAAAAACTAAACCAAGAGCAAGAATAACGGAGAAGTATAAGGGGTTACATCAGGTTATAGTACTCCTCGTGCCCGGGGGCAGACGGACAAGGACTAAGATGGGTGAGAGCTCGGACGCTAAAGGCCCAGAATATCAAGTTCAGCAGTTTGGACTTAAACCTGCGGCTGGCTGTTGACAAAGCTTTTCAGCAGGGAACTGAGATGACAACGACTTAGCAAGGGAAGTAACGGATGCGCTAGGGAAAACTGCTTACACAAATAGATCTCGATCCTGAGCGTCAGAGTTTATCACTCATTAACTAGGGAGTCAGCAAGTAGACAGAAGGGGCCACTTTGAAGTGACTGAGAGACAAGTCTGTCTACCTCACCTGGAGGAAGCAGTTGGGCTGCTCTGGTTACTTCACCGAGCTGTAAAACTGTCATCCCCTTAGGGTGCCGCAGTCAGGACCAACTCCCCAGAGTTGTTAGATGGAGCCATTCATCAAAAGTAACAAGTGATACATCTGAGCAACACAGGTTTAGCAAACCAATCTGTGCAGATCAGCCATGTCAAACAGCAAGGCCTTACCCCTAACAAGCAGCCAGTTAGCAAAGAGGCCCAGAGATCTGCTTTGTCCCAGGTGGCTCTGGATAAATTTCCTCAACACACAATTACAGATGCTGAGCACACAGTTGCTGTTTTCAGTTTGGGGACAATTTCTTCCCCTCAAGTGGAAAACGACAAAAAATCACCTTCATGAAAGATTGCAAGGGGAAAACACTGCTAAGAGCCCTCCAGAACCCTAGTGGTAAAGGGGATTCCTTGGGGCCCAAACAATCAGAACTGAAGTGTTCTTGAATCTTCTTACAAAAAGGGGGAAAGGTGGCTTCACAAAGAGTTTGAAAAGGATGACTTTTCTGTGCCAAAGCTTAATGTTCACTTCTTTATAAATTGGATAATCACTAATTTCTCCGTGAAGATAATGTAATCAAAAGACTTATTGAGTTGCTCCCTTTATATAAGAGGCAAAGTCTTAGATGAGCTCACCAGTTAGTAAATAATAAGTTGAGTACCTAAGAGCTCAGGGCAATAGTCCAGAGTCTTTACTGTTAAGATTCAGGAAAATATTAGGTTCTTGGATTTACTATCTTCTCCATTCTGTAAACAATTCTTAAAGACCCTTAAAGAAAGGGCCCACCTAGAAAATGCAAAACAGAATTTCAAATTCTCATGGACTCTAGACTTTCTGGAGCCACAGAGGCTAGATGAACCCCTGAAACTACTGCCCTGAGATAATCTTTAAAACTTAAACCAAAAATATCCCCCTGGAGTCCTCTTGAAACCAAACAATAGTTTAACTAGTAAAGAATGTCTGCCTTGAGCATTATGCTCTTTTAAGAACTATCTAAATGGGATCAAAGTGACAACAGCAACTTGAAAGATTAGACAGGAACCTTAGTGGGCAGTGAATTTATGTTAATGGGGGAGGAGCAGCTGAAAAAAGGAGAATGAGAATGGTTACGCAGCTTGAAGAATGTAATCAAGGTCACTGAATTGTACGGGTAGAAACGGTTGAATTGGTGTGTGTTTTGCTGTGTCTACTCTCAAAAAAAAAACACAAAAAACCCGTCTACCTGATAATGAACGAACTATAATAGGGATGTGGTCTGAAACGCTTCCTTTTCCTCCTAACAAGCCAGAGAGCTGAAGGACAGCCACATCTCATCCAGACCATCTGCTTGCCATTCCCAAAGCAGGCTCCTCTTAGGGTTTTTCAGAGGGAAAGACGGATGTCCAGCTGGTCCCTCAAAAAAGGCTTTCTATTTATGCTAGGAAATCCATTCTGCAGAATGGCACCACTCTCTGCCTGCAGTTCTTCCTAATGTGTTAACGAGATTTCCTGCAATTGAAATCTTAGCCCCTTTCCTCTTGTCTAATGCTGGGTGAAATCACAAGGCTTTATGCCGCCCTTGACCTGACAGGCCTGTTGAGACAAGGAAAACACAAGCCTGACCGGATCTGACTCATCCTACAAACCCTGGCTCACGATACCTAGGACATTAGAACACGCACAACTTCCACTGAATCTTTGTGAAATGGTTGCTGTTGGTTCATGTTCTCTAAGCCTGATCTCCCTCCCGTGATACTGGGATAAGACAGGAGCCGGATATTTGCCAGCGTTATTCTTGAGCTAGAAATTCTTGTTCTAATTTCCTCACGTTCTCAAGAAGAGGCCCAGGCTGAGGTGTCCCCAGGTCAGGGCTGAAGTGCATCCATTTAAAGTAGTTTCAATTGTTTTCAATTTCCCAGGAGAGGGCAGTCACCTTGACAGGGGAAAGAAATGCTTGGTCACCTTGACCCACGTCCAGCCCAGCCCATGACATGAGGCGGGGAAAGCTGCCAGGCTTGTGGGTGGCTCACAAAATATAGAAATCCTTTTTGTCACCCCCAAGAAATCTCTTCATGAGTGACAATGTACTTAAAATCATGAATAGCATTAACACTTACTCTCTGCTTTGAATACTGTCAACAGATGATCTGAAATTAATTCTTCTACGGAAGACTCCAGCTTCCTTTCTCCATCAATTATCCAAGGAGTTTGTGGTAGATTCCTGGAGTATTTATTATATCTCCCTGCCAAAGAGATGGGATGGTGTGATTAACACAATAGGTAAAAACGAAAGCAACAACTACATATTGAGTGCCCGTCTCCTAGGTGCTATGGTGTGAAACAAGGCCCAGCCCTCAGCTGACCTACAGTCTAATTCGGGAACCAAGACACAGACACGGAGATAATTAGATAAAAAGGTCTAACGACACCAAGGGATGGCTACAACATGATGTGAACGGTGCATCCCATGAGTTCTGAAGAAATGCTCAATATATTAATTCATCAGGCTGGCTGACTGAATCAGTTACAATATCACAGGAACGCACCATGGACTACTGAGTTTACACCTATTAATAATACTTTCAATGAAATATATGTATGCCATAGAGTTGAAATACAGGAAATTTTGAAGTTTTTGTCATTAAAAAGAAAAAAAAAAAACCCTACAGAGTATGACTCACCACTTTATGAATAAAGCTAAACTAAGACAGGAAAGCTGTCACCGCCCGAGGGCAGGGTGGTATAGTCAAGGCTGAAGAGTAATTTCATTTCAGCTATTCATAAGAAACGCCGATAATTTTCAAAACAAATATTGCCTGCTAGATTACCTCCTGGGAAAGCCAGCGTAACAGTTTTTTTCGGGCAGAAACTACAAGCGTTTAGTCATTTTGGAGAGAATGAAACTGTTTTCAAGTTGGCTATCAGGTTACAGAACATCCTCCCTTCTGCTGACTTTCTCCTGACCAGCTGTGGGTCTCCACATCCACCTCTGTTTCCACTTGGCCATCTCTGATGAAGACTACTGACACCTGGGATGTGTCACTTCCCTTTGGCAGGACATCTGCAATAACAGATCTCCTAAGTGACCGTCAGCAAGGCCTCAGAACCTACAATAAGCTTAGGTGTCAGTGCTAGTTCTCAGAAGAGTTAACTAATCAGAAGCCATAACAACAATAAGAAAGATACAGGGGAGGAGTCAGTTGAGTTTTTCAGAAAGGAGAGTAAGTTGACAGGTAAGTATAGTCTAGACTAGATATTTTACCAGCCACAAAAACAGCACCATGAGCACATTCAATGTCAAGAACAGTGCATACAGCCTTTGGTGAGTTTGGAGGACAAGGAAACTGCCTGCAAGACAAAATACATTTTACGGCTGCTATTTTCCAGACAAGATATTGAATCACATAACCAAGATGAATCAGCATCGTCTGACACACACAGACCCTGGGTCTCTCCAGAACCAAGCCTCTCCCTAGCTTCAAGTTTCAGAACAATGAGGTCCTGCAGGTCTCCGACTACCGCTCTCCCTGCACGACAGGGGCATCAACCTAGGGAACTGGGGCTCTGCTACTCTCTTTCCTGTTCAGAGGCCTCATCTTCCCAGATGATAATTTCCAACGGCCTCGAGATTTGGGGGAGGGGACATATCTCCGAGGTGGAAGCCCATCTAGGCTTTGACCATTTTGCTATCCACAGACTCCTGCTGCTGGCTGACATGACCCTCTACCGTCTGAGGGTAGCTGGTGTGCAGAGACTGGCCACATGCGCGAGCCCCACCTGTGAGGAAGGCAGGCTGCCATTTTTTTTCTTTTTCCTTCTCACTTTCTCCTAGGATCTTGGGAATCAGATCACAGAGCCAGAAAAAGTAGAATGTGTCAGGCTCTGCCATTTTGGTTAGAAAACTTAAAAAAAGAAAAGAAACTCCAGTCCGACTGCAGGCAGGGAGGACAGCGCAGGGCTATCTGTGGTTTTATTCTCAATCCACTGTCTGGGGGCTTCCAAGACCACTAACTGGACTAGGGTCTACCTGTAAATAACCAGGTGTGCACTTCACCCCAAATGCGTAGCTGAAAAACTTCATACGGTTTCCCAAGACGCCTTGACAAAGAAATCACTTAGAAACTCAGATCTGTTGCTTTTATAGAATAACTGTCCTCACTGTCTAAAATTTAATAAAAATATTTCCATTATGAGACTCGTTTTTAGTCAGTACCAGTAAAAAAAAATCAAGTTGATTCCGACTCATGGTGACCCCATGTATGTCAGAAGAGAACGGTACTCCACGAGGTTTTCAATAACTGATTTTTCAGAAGTAGATCTTCAGGCCTTTCTTCCGAGGAGCCTCTGGGTGGACTCAAACCACCAAATGTCATTTAGCAGCTGCGCGCGTTAACTGTCCCACACTTGGAACCCTGTTAGTCAGTCAAATACATGAAACCTGCCTCATAATTTCATTATTTTAAATTTATTCAAGGATATTCTGGAGGAATAACTATGAAGACATTTTTATTAATGACATGGGCGCACTGAGCATTAAAATACAGGATTTATGGTATTTAATGAATTTCAGCATATTTTAACAAGTGAGGGCACTCCTGTGCCCTTGTCCCCCTCTGTGGAGATGGCCAATACTAGGAAATGCAGGATGGGGTGTGATGGGAGCAGTGCGGCTGGGGAGTCAGGAACCCTGGTTTCTAAATTCACTCTCTACAATCCCCTGGAAACCTTGGGCAAGTCAACTCCCTCTTTTTTCCTCAATATTCCCTTCTAAAAGATAAGGAGGTTGGATTGGTCATAGATTCAAATATTAATTTTACAGGCGTTTATTGAACACACTACCTGCCAGGCACTGTGGCAGGGGCTGGGGTACAGAGATGACCGAGACAAAATCCTGGTCCTGAAACACTCCAGTCTTGTCTTAGAGATAACCCAAACTGCCTCCAACATTCCCTTCAAAATTCCATGCTTCTTAGTTTCTACTTACTTGCGGAAGTCCTCTTCTTTGATCTTATTCAAAGCTTTCATGACTGCCATTCTAGTAAATACTGACTATACAGGGTAGAATCAAAAGAAAAGACATTTTATTACCTAGACGAGAAAACAGCACAGGTGAAACGGAGAACACGGTGGGAGAAAATTTATTATTTGACACACTTAAAAGGGATAAATACGTAATAGTTTCAAGGAAATAAATAAAACTTAAGAAGCATTCATAACTTCAGGTCTGCAATCAGTATGCCTCTACGACCCTCCGCTTCAACCTGGTCTACGTCTAAAACATCAGCTAGATCTAGAAGCACAGGTCGCCTTCTGTTCTGTCCCACGCCTCCCAAAATGAGATATTCTTCCAACACAAAAATGATGACCTCGCAGGAAACGTGCTTTGAGTATTCTTTCCCAGGCAGGCCCCAAGAGGAATTTATATTGATCCATCTACATTTTCTTCCCTGCATCCCTTCTGGGGCCACAGTGTATGATTTAGAAGTTGACTGCCAGGGTACTGTAAAACAAAGTGGACCAGCTGCCCTGGTACCCAGCAAGTGAACGTCACTCAGCAGCCACAGACAGACCTCGCAAATCCACTACACCAAACAGACAGGCATCGCAACAAATGTCCTACTCTGGGTGCTTTATGATGAGCAAAGCCAGACCACACGGTATACACACTGGAACTAATTAGTGCACATACAGTACATATGGAGCCCTGGTGGCACAGTGGCTAAGAGCTCGGCGGCTCACCAAAAGGTCAGCAGTTTTGAATCCACCAGCTGCTCCTTGGAAACCCTATGGGGCAGTTCTACTCTATCCTGTAGGGTCGCTATGAGTCGGAATCAACTCAACAGCAACAGGTTTGGTTTTGGTCTTTTATAGTACATATGCATTTTATACTATGATACATCTCAATGGTTTCTTCTGTTACAAGAAATTACATCTGACTGAAAAGGGGCCCGACGTAGGCCTCTCAACAGTTTATCATCAGTCAGGGCAATGATTTTCTCAGTTAGACCCTGGGGAACCCCAGGGAGCTCTACGAGGTGCCTTAGGGGTAGAACTGAAAATAAAGGGCCTGTTTGATAAGACATGAAAAATTGGGCCTGTTACCACCACTGACTGCTCTGACCAGGATGACAACAGAGGGTTCTGGACAGAGCTGGAGAAGGATGTAGAACAAAATTCTAGCTCACAAAAAAAAGACCAGATTTACTGGCCTAAAGGAGACTGGAGAAACCCTGAGAGTATGGCCCCCAGACACCCTTTTAGCTCGGTGGTGAAGTCATTTCCGAGGTTCACCATTCAGCCTGGGAGTGGACAGCCCCGTAAAACAAAACGGGACTAATGAGGCACAGCAGTCCAGGGACAAGGGCCAGAAGGCAGAAGGGGACAGGAAAGCTGATGATAGGGAACCCAAGGTTGAGTAAGGATAGTGTTGATGTGTTGTGAGGCTGTTAACCATTGTCATAGGGAAACATGTATACTAACTGTTAACTGAGAAACTATTTTGTTCTGTAAGACTTCATCTAAAGTGAGAATAGCAGCACAACTGGAAGAGCATAGTCGATGTCACTGAACTGTGCATGTAGAAATTGTTGAAATGGTGTATCTTTGGCTATGTATATTTTCACCAAAAAAAAAAAAAAAAAAAAAAAGGTCGAGAAGCGGGAGGGTTGACTTGTTGTGGGGTTGTTAACCAATGTCATAAAACAATATGTGTACTACTGTTTCATGAGAAACCATTTGTTCTGTAAGCCTTCACCTGAAGTACAATAAAAAAATAAAAAATTTAAAAAAAAAATTGGGCCTGGAAGAATCTCAAAAAGTCATTCAATTCACTTCAAGCCGTAAAGCAAGAAAACTACATTTAAGACCCTACAAATCCCATTGGCCAAATGGCCTGGTGTTTACGATGCTTTGATAAAAATTCCCTTATCCCATTATTTAATGCTGTACTCGTATATTTCCTCAAAGGTAACAAAAATAAAGCCAGCTCTTCAATATAAATATGGCTTATAGGTCACTCGAGCAGAACTTCCCAACTAGTGGGAAACCCTGGTGGTGTAGTGGTTAAGAGCTATGGCTGCTACCCAAAAGGTCAGCAGTCCCAGTCCACCAGGCGCTCCCTGGAAATCCGACGGCGCAGTTCTACTCCGGCCTTCAGGGTTGCTGTAAGTCGGCATCAGCTCGACGGCAACGGGCTTGGTTTTGTTCCCAACTAGTGTGGCCTAACAGGGGCTACAGCGGTGCCAAGACGCTGATCCTTCAGCTCACAAGGACTCTGGTTGGGGCCAGGGCAGCGGGAACCTCCAGGCACCTCCTCTCCAACCTGGAGCCACTTCCTCCCCTCAGCGGCAGCGAGCTGCACCGACACGGTAACGTTCTAGGTCCGCCATGACGTGAGAAAAGGAGAAGCACTGCCTTCGTCTGGGGTCTTCGTTTCTAATTCTTTCTGCTCGGGGCATTTGGCAAATGTTACAAACCAGCTTCTTCCCACTTCTGAAGGGCCCAGCAATTACTCAAATGGGGATAAAGACCAGTAGACGTTTCTTTGACAACAAACTCATAGCATTTTTAACAACCATAACAATAAAATGAGGTCTGTAAAGCAGCATGTAGCAACGCCTGGGTCTCTGCACAAAACCAGCTAAGTAATTGGGGCAAGAAAGTTTGTCCACGCAGTGCCATGCCATTTACCCGGGCAGCATACGCGCTAAAAAAAAGTACATGCCAATTAATCAGCTCATTAACGTGAAGGCCATGGATAAACGCCCTTTCTGCAAATGTAGCCTGAAATGTTGTTGTTGTCAGGTGTCATCGGGTCGATGTTCGACTCATAGCGACCCAACAGGACAGAGTAGAACTGCCCTGTAGGGTTTTCTGGGTGGTAATCTTTACAGAAGCAGGTTCTTTCTCCCTGAGGGCCAGTGGGTGGGTCTGAACCACCGACCTTTCAGTTAGCAGCCGAGTGCTTAATCGTTGCGCCACTAGGGCTCAATTAATATTAATTCTATTAATTCAGGATTATCCTAAGTGAAAATAATTTACTTTCGATTATATTTTAAAAGCCCAAATTTCTGGAAAACATGGATATAGGCAAGTCTTTGGAATGCTGCTGATATTTACCAAGGATTTTCCCAGGTGATGTAATTTTGGGATTAAAATTTAAAAGTTGCACTTCTTCGAATGGGTAACTGAAACACTTGTTCTAAATTTAGTGACATCAGGGGAACAACCCAGACAATGATACGAACATGAGGATGTTTGTATGCCACAACTTCCTTGCCAGAGGCAAAGGTGTTGAGAATTGAAAACAGTAAAAAGAAACGTAGCAAATGGAAATATTTAAAGACTGAGTCTTGGTATATTAGAGTTGCCACATTTCTAAGGCATATCCGTTCTGTTGTTGATCTGAATATTCAGCTCAGATAAAACTCACTAAAGAATAAGAAGTAAAAAGAATGTTTACCTGTTTGTTTTTAGCTGGCTTGAAGCAATCTGGGCATATCGCACGTCTAAAATAAAATTCGAGTTAATATAAAAGGTTAATGAGTTTATTTTGGGATGGATATAATTCAGACATACTTTAGACAACATGGCTGCTAAACCGAGGATATCAGGAGCGGACAAAAGGAATCCCTATCCGAGTTGCCCTGGTGGTCATAGACCTGTCTATCAGAGGGCACCCTTTAAGCCTCCTGGGGCACAAGTTCTGACTTTACTCTTCAAAAGGAGAGCAATCCTATTGTCATGAAAACCAAAGAGCATTGAAAACATGACACAGTTGACAGCGTTGTTTACAGGGCGACTTACAGGAAGTGGCAATCCTCGACTGTTGCTGGGTGAGCAAAGACCACACTCACTTCAAACAAGCTCTAAAAATTATAAAGACAGTTTAAAAATGAGCAAAAGGAAACCAACATGTCACAATTTATGAATGAAATAGAAATTCGCTTTCAAAGGCTGGCTCAGAAAAAGTGACAAGGAGAACTGGGAATATTACCGCTCTCAAGTCAGCCTGCTTACAGGCAGCTGTAAAGAAATGTGTTTTTCTTTTTCTTTTTTTTTAACTTTTAAAACGTAGTTGCCAGTGATCCTACCAAAAAAAAAAAAGATCAGTAAATTTTAAAAGGTCAGGATTTGTATGGGTTTTGTACATGGATGTAAGCTAGGTGTGAAGATGAATGTGCATCTAGGGACCTGGAAGGAGATAGTAACCGAAAGAGATTTGTTCCTGTCAATATTACAATTAGAATTATTAACAATGCAAAAAAGTTATTCATATTCTTAAAAGCCTGAATGGGCCTTCTTTTTTACAGTGCTCAAACTTCTAATGGATTTGAGCTTTAAAAGAGAGATCTAATTTGTTTGCTTGTTTGATTTACTACAAAAGCATTACATTCCAATTGTAAAATAATCCCACAGCGGATGTTTTTCCACCCCGACTCCCTGAGGAGGAACTATTAACATTTGCTGTGCTTTCTTCTAGCCATTCCTATGAATATAAACATACACGTGTATACTTCTCGAGATGTTAAAGATGCTTCTGGAAGATTGCCTTATTCAATTAACATTACATCATGGACATCTTAGCAACTCTAGAGACCATAACATACTTATGTTGGAGAAAGTTTTTCTGTAGTTAAATAAATAAATAAAGCTATGATGAACATCGCTGAACACAAACGGCACGATTTCATACTCTATATACACCTACCACGCTGAGAATATACAAAGTTCCACAGTGAGAAAACGAATGTAAATGCCATACCTGTGTCATGATTTTCTTACCTTTTTTATTGAGCTCTGTGTTTATCGAATTCTATATTTACTGAGTGGGCTGAATTGTAGGCAAGCCCATTAGCTATATACTAGAATCACGATAGTGAAGTTATTTTTTCTGCTTCTATTCTAGTCTACAGAATAAAACTGAAATGAACTATATTTCTTTTGCTCAAGAAAACTTCATTCAACTTGAATTTATTAGAACATTTTTACATCTTTTGTTTTCTGTTCTTACTAATTCAACATGTAAAATCATTTGTGCTTCAAAACTGAAATTTGAGGTAAAAATATTTTGCATCAATGATTTCTCTAATTTCCAAAGTACTTTCATTACCTCATTTCCTTTTCATACTATCTGTGAAGTGGTTTGACTCTCTACTCTCTCAGTATTCTGTTGAAAGAACAGCGAGAGCTTACTCTTACTAACGGAGGGAAAGAGAGTTACGTAATTCAGGATGGTTTGAAAAAAAAGCCTAACTATTTAGCTATGGAAGATGATTTGTTGATTTTACTTGAGTAGAGGTGTGTCTAATATTCAGGGAATTTCCTTCAAGCAAAACGATGGGGTAATGAAACCTTACTATTAAGATCTAATTTAGGATGAGCAGGGATGCTGTCCCGTTTCCACATCTGGAAACATGTGGAGGTCCTATCTGAGAGTCAAACCATTCCAGAGACTGTGCAAGGCTTGTTCTGGAAAAGGAGAGATGGCTAAGTGTTCTGGTTTCAAAGGTGGCCTCTGCCTAAAGGAAACAGAGAGGCTTGGGGTGCCCACGAGGTAGTGACACACTGAGCCCACAGGCACTGCACTTGTATAGGTTCTGTCTACATATTTGAAAACAAGACTAGCCACAGGTAAACCAAAATCAAACAGTCTAGAGTTGTCCCTACACTCACTCTGTTACTTACATATTGCTTTGTATCTGTAAATCTGTTTTTCCAATTACATTATAAATACATTGAAAGCAAAGATTCATTTCTAACCTTTTACGGTCAATGAGGGTACGCTGCACCGGTTACAATCCTAAAGGGTTTGGATTACAAAAAAGTCATGGGAAAAAAAATAGGAAAGGCTTTAACCTCAATTTAAGACTATTAAGAGTTTAACATTTAAAAAGCTTAACTCTTCACTGGATTATTTAGAAATGATTCCTTGTGCTACCCAACACTCAGCCATATGATGAAGAAAACTCGTAAAACCAGAGAACAAAATTAACAAGGCTGATGACCCGATACCTTGCCATCAACGGGAACGCCCAGTTCCTCTGAAAACAGGGGGTGAGTTATCCATTTGTAGGCTTCTTTGAGCTGAACTATATCATTTCTTCCCAGCGACCGACTCTGCTTTCTGAATAACATAAAAATTCACTCACATGTAAAACTTCACTTTTACTATTAAAGGCAAAATATTATGCAATTATTTAAAGATATTTACTGAGTGCCTATTATGTGCCAGACGCCATTTTACGCATTACAGAGAAAGCAGAGAACAAAACAGACAAAAATCCCTCAACTCCTGGATCTTATATTCCAGGAGAATCAAGGGGCTGCTTTTTAAAGGCATATATATGCAATACAGTTTGTAAAGATTCAGAGACAAAAGCACACTAATGAGTTTTTCTGAGCGAGAGCTGCCAGATTCCAGGATTTATGTATCAAAAGCCAGAACGTTGGAATAGAGGGGATTGTTTATTGCTTGGAGACCCTGAGTAGTGCAAACAGGTACCGTGCTCAGCTACTAACCTAAAGGTTGGAAGTTCGAATCCACCCAGTGGAGCCAAAGAAGAAGGGCCTAGCGATCTGCTTCTGAAAAATCAGCCACTGAGAAGCCTAGCAAACGGTCACCGTAAGTAGGAATCATCCGTATGACAACTGGTTTCCTGCTCGGAAACTGCAGAACTGTGTATTACAATCAAGTCATCCAGACTAAAAATGCTTGCATCTACTCTCTTGCTGAAAATGGGGCTTACTTTTGGGAAATAAATGTAAAAGTTAGACTTTTTTTTTTCCTTTACTACTGAAGAAGACATATTAAATCTTACAGTATCACTTGTCTGAAATGCTCATCAACGTAATATTAGATTAATGTCTGAGTAAAAAGCTGACGTACCTCCAAAATCTACTCATGAGTCGATAAATAGATTTTGGCAAGTCCCCATTATGAGTTCTAGCTTTTAGTTTATAACCTAAAATTGGTGACAGGAAGGAACTGAGGTAAGAGAAAAGAAAAGCTGCTCAACCCCACTGGGAATGCTGCGAAATCACTAACAAACTAACAAGCCCAAGTGATTCAATAATTAAAAGTTCAAAGCAGCCGTACAGCTGCTTTGAATAAAAGAGATCTTAGGGCAAACTGTGAATCATCCCTTAAATGACTATTCCCACCAACAGAAACGACCACTTACAGGCAGTATCTATTGCAATTTCGTTCTGCGAGAGGGATAGACACTGCTAACTGCAGGTGGAAAACAAGAAGTATTTAGCTAATGGCTAAATTTAATCGATCTTAAAAAAAAAAAAAGGATATAAAGACCGCTGTTCTTCTAAAAGTACAAATTAAGAAACAGTTGACCTACCCATTCTGTATCCAGCTGAGAATATAACTAGGTGCATGGGGCAGAGTGCTTTCTCTGGGATTTTGGCTTAACAATGAAATCTCCAGATAAGTCCTACATCTGACAAATAATCAAGTTACTTCTCTACATTCAAGGATTTATTCAAACACTAAGTGTGTGAGCTTTATAAACTGTTCCTAATTCTCTGAATATCAGAAACATTTTAGGTGTGTTCAAAGACTGAGTCTTTTAACTAATGCTATTTGCACACAAATAGCATCACAGTTGAAAAGTCCAGTTAAGGAACAGTGAGGGGTAGTTTTTTCCTTCCAGATTAAGGAGCCAAAGGAAAGGGTTAACAGATATTTTATCCTTATATAAAAGGCAAAAATACAATACTTAAGATGTCAGATTAATAATCCTGAAAGTTGAATGTGGTTGACAGCTTTTCTAATATAATTTAGGGTGAAGTTTTCATACAGGTCCTTAGCATGTGTCTGATTGTCCTTTAGAGGCGTGAGTGCTCATTAAGGTAAATTCAGTCCCCACTGGAGGAGCAGTAGTTAAGCATTTGGCTGCTAACCGAAAAGTTGATGGTTCAAACCCACGGGCTGCTCTGCAGGAGAAAGATGTGACAATCTGCTTCCATAAAGATTACAGCCTTAGAAACCCCATGGGGCAATTCTACTCTGTCCTATAGGGTCGCTAGGAGTCAGAGCTGACTCCGTGGTAATGGGTTTGGTGTGGTTTAAGGTAAATTCAGTCCCCGTTTAGTACTTAGTAACTACATTTCTCTCCCTCTTCTCTGTCCGATAACTACTGATGAGGATGTCAACTTTTGCTATAGATGCAACACAAATGACAACCATTCTAGGTGAACCACAATATCGGAAGCAATTAATTTTTTCTAAAGTCTTTGAACTGATTCTTTAATGGCAATTCTTCCCCAATCTTTTGAACCTAGAATGAACTAGGGACACGGAGAGAAAAGATTAGTGTCCTATGTTTTTTCTGTTCCAGTATCCTTATATTGATTAGGATCAACATAAGGAATTCTGGGGAAGAAATAAGCTTGGTTAACTATCCTTTAATAAGGAATGAAAACAACACACAAGCAACATGGATGCAACCTGGAAACACTTATAAACACCATGCGTGACCACACTAACAGATTGCTCAAGCAACACAGGGTCAAATTTTGTTATGAGACCAGAATCGCAAGCACTTGAGACTAATTTAAGATAAACCAATTAAATCCCCAAACCTACGATAAATATGTGGCTTATTACCATTTAAAAAATGCAGATGTGAAACACACAAAAATTTTTTTTCTATAAATCACTTGCCCAAGTCTGAGATTCTAACAGAGAAATCCACACTTCTCTCTGAAGTACACAGGCCCTCTGGCAGTCATGTAGCCCTACTTATACTGCTACAGAATCTTTTGTTTCAAAATCAGAAAAGCTCTGGAAAATTAAAGTCTTTTTTTTTTTTTTCCTTCAATTTAGTTGGCAACCAAATCCTGATCTGAATATGTGTGGCTATTTAGAAACTTTATTTAGAAACTTAGCGTGGATATCCGTATGTTTCATTACATAAGTATTAATGTGTTTGATTATATACTACCATCCCAGACTTGGGAGGAGAGTTGTATATTATTTATACCATATTACATTTCTAAAATCCAAAAAATTCTAAATTCCAAAACATATCTGGCCTTCAAAGTTTTCAGATAAAGGATTATGGACCTACGTTTTCTATATCTTATCTGTTTATGTACAAAAAAACCCCATTGGCCTCAAGTCGATTCCAATTCATGGTGACCCCATGTATTTATGCAGTCTGCTAAAAAACATAAATTCACTGTTTTTCATTGTTGTTCTCCCTTCAGAAAGATTTTACTTTGTAGTTTTTCTGGTATAGTTAATTTTTTCCGAGTATCTAAGGCCAATGTAAAATTTATTCTTTTAAAATAACTGCCCAAACTACACCATACAAGTGCCTAATACGTATAAAATATGTGTTTATATTCACATTAAACCTACAAAAAATGAATCAGCTGAAATGAAGTACAAATATAATAGGCAAATGAACTGATTAAAAAAGGTTGATGCCCTAAAGTTTACACAGTACAAATTTTCTCTTTGCACCAATTTTTCTAGTCGCTAGTGAGCTCACTCCAGAAAAGACACAGTAGTCGTAGTAAACATACTTTAAATATCAAGTAGCTTGATATATTTACACAATGACAAAAAAGAGAAAGAGTAGCTGCTGAGGCTGCTTATGTACAACCAAACACCTCAGGGACTTGATTCCTTGGTTTGGAGGTTTAGGGTCATGGCTTCATGGAACATCCCAGTTAATTGGCCTAATAACGGGTTTAGTGCTTCTGTTCTACCTCCTAGTTTGTTGTGTAGTACCTGGGGTCAAAAAGCTTACAAGCTGCCAACCAAAGCACAATTGGTCTCTATTCACCTGGAGCAACAGAGGAAAAGGGAGAGTCAAGACTAGGAGGAGGATACGGAATGTGTGGCTAATTGCCTCCGTGAACAACTAACTCCTCTGCTATGAGACCAGAAGAACTGGATGGTGCCTGGCTACCATTACTGAACATTTTGATCAAAGATTCCATAGAAGAATCTTGATCAAAACGGGGGAAATACAGAACAGAATCTAAAATTTTCATAGACTCTAGACTTTCTGGAGCCATAAAGGGTGGATGAACCCCTGAAACTACTACCCTGAGATAATCTTTAAACCTTAAACCAAAAATGTCCCCTGAAATCACCTTATACCAAACAAATAGTTTACCTAGTAAAAAAGGCCGGCCTTGAGCGTTATGCTCTTTTAAGAACTATCTCTATGGGATCATATTGGCAACAGCAGTGTGAAAGATTAGACAGGAACCTTAGGGGGCAGTGACTTTATGTTAATGGGGGAGGATCAGCTCAGAAAAGGAGGGTGAGAATGGTTGCACAACTCCAAGAACGAAATCAGTGTCACTAAATAGGACATGTAGAAACTGTTGAACTGGTGTATGTTTTGCTGTGTATACTCCCAACAACAACAACAAAATAAATAAAATTTAGGAAAAAAAGAAAAGGATCAAATAGCTCATATTCAAATGGTAGTAAAAATTCCCTACCTAAATCACTTACCCCATTTCCTGTTTTACCAGCAACCACGCAGCATGCTGTAGGCAATGCAGTCACACCCAGAAAGAAAAGAAAAGGGGAAAAGTGTTCAGTGAAATTAAGTTCCAATATCATTACTGAAGTATTTAACGAACTAGCTAACCAAACTCCCCCTTTAAGGAGAGGAGTTGGTGTTCAAAATGTGGCAGTGACCTCAATCTCATTTAAAATCAGAAATGAGGTAAGACTCCACCTCACGAGGCTAATTTGCTTTGGCCTAGGAATTCAGCAGGGGTATCCCCTCCTTCCTACAGGTTTCTGTTTCTCATTAATGAGGTACGTGTGTTTTTTAACATGAGTAGCTTACACATATTTTAAAAATATCTTACTATTTCATGGGGGAAGGCCCAAAGTGACTAGTACATAATCCCCAAAAGGCAGAATCGAAGGCCTCCGTTTTGTTTTTTCTTTTTTTAATTAGGCTAACAATTTTTAACTCTATCTAGTTAATGAGCTCATGCTTAAGTGTTTAGGAGTTAAATGTACTAATGCCTGCAACTCACTTTTGAGATACAACCAAAACTAAGATGGACTGATGGCTGGATAAATGGAGAGCTAGATATATAATAAAGCAAATACAGATTGTAACAACTGTACAGTCTAGCTGGGTATATGGGTGCTCACTGTACAATTCTTTCAACTTTTCTATATGTATAAAAATTTTCATAATACAACCTTAGGGGGAAGTTCTCGGAAGCATTCATAAAGAATTGGAAAAAACTGTTAAAACAAAGAAGACGGAATTCCCAGTCATGGCTGTTGTGAAGATTCTATGTGAAATTCAGGTAAAACGCTTAGCATAGTTTAAGTGTGACAGTAAGATTTCTCAGTTCCCCGTTAGACTCCCACAGCTTCCACCTTAGAAGAAGGTAACAGAATTACCTCAGTATCCTGTCCTTCGGGAACACGACAGAGACACACGTGTGTAAGTCAGTAAAATAACACATGTACTCTCTGCTCTGCGTAGCACCAACACGGCCAGCCGCCAACGTGCATACCCACCCCACACCCTGGCTTGGTATGTATATGCTGTGGTTCGTATGTAGAACTCTGCCCTTCTCATCAAACGGGGCTCCCTCCAAACGACCAGCAGAGCACTGGAGGCTTTGGAAGAACAATTCAGGACCGCTCAGAAACATCAGGAGCGTCGCTTAGTTCAACCAGCGCCAAGCAGACTGAATTAATGACCAGCTGGACGAGGGTTCCCGCCGCCTGATGGTCTGCCCAGTACCCTCCGAGGTGCTAGTCTGTTAGCAGCTCAGCCCGATACCATCTACAGCACCACAAGACTCTTCCTTCTTCTCTGTTTACTCAAACCCGCTTCCACAGCACACGGGCAGAAGACCTAGCTTTCCTCATGTGTGAAACGAGAGAGCTTGGCAAAGACGATCGTGTTTTAAACTTTTCTGGGTGGATGGCTAAAGGTCATCATGAATGGACTTTAGTTAGCATACTGTTATTGGGATAGAGGTTATTAAGATCACAAGACTCTGAGACCAGAGAAGAAGCGAATCCTGGTCTCCTAAAGTTGAAACCCCGGAGTCAGTATCACCAAGCAACACTTGTTTCCTCATCAGTAAAAAACCAAGAACTAAGTCAGTTACCGTGGAGTCAGTTCCAACTCATGGCGTCCCCCAGATGTTCAGAGCAGAATGGCACTAAATAGGGTTTTCAAAGGCTGTGAGCTTTTCGGCAGTAGATTGCCAGGCCTTTCTTCTGAGGTGCCTCTTAATATTTCCCTCACAGGGATTTCAGGAGGATTTAATGAAGTCGTGTATAAAAAGAACCAAGTAAACTCCTGGCATGTACTTAATAAATGGTAACTATTGTTTTTCTGCGGCTAGTCATAGGTTTTCACTGGCCAATTTTTTCAGAAGTAGACCGCCAGGTCCTTCTTCCTAGTCTTAGACTGGAAGCTCAACTGAAACCCATCCACCAAGGGTGACCCTGCTGGTATTTGAAATACTGGTGGCAAAGCTTCCAGTATCACAGCAACACACAAGCCACCACAGTAAGGCCAACTGACAGACGCGTGGTGGCATACATTCCACCTTCCGGTCATTAATGGATGTTTGCAGCTGTTTCTTCTCATTGTGAGTCATGCCACATCAGCAAATGAAGGTCCCAAAAGTTTGACTCCATCCACGTCATTAGGGTCGACTCTACTTTGAGGAGGCAGCTCCTTTCCAGTCGTCTTTTGAGTGCCTTCCACCCTGGGCTCATCCTCCGGCACTGTATCAGACAGTGATACCTTAGTACGACCCTTGCAGGGATTTCCCAACGACTTACTGAAGTCATGTATACAAAAAACCAAGGAAAACTCCTGGCTTGTACTTAATAAATGGTAACTGTTGTTGTTGCTGAATTGGAAACTTGTCTCCAATTTCCAAATAATAAAATTTAGATTTATCCCTTAAGAGATTTACAGGACTGATCCCAGGCCTTCCTCTCTCCAAACCGCTCTGCTATAGGTAGTTCTGGAATCTCCCTCAGCAGTGAAACCCTCAGGGAGTCTGAGCAGGAAGGAGTTCTTGGGTGTCACATGCCCTCAGCTACTGGCCGAAAGGTTGGCGGTGGCTCAAACCCATTCAGAGGCGCCTCTGAAGAAAGGCCTGGCGATCTCCTTCCATAAAACCCTGCGGAGCAGCTCTTCTCTGCAACACACGGGGCCACCATCAGGCTGACCTGACTCGGCTGCTGGCTGTCTGAGCTGTGGAGGCCTGTCCACCCTTCTTTAAGGGGACTCCCACCCCCTGTCCTTCTCTAGTGACCATTGTGTGTCTCCTCTGTCCCCACAGCCACCTCCAGGAGACGCCATCAAGTCTGCAACGTGTCCTGCCACCTGCCTATAAAGTAGGGCAGAACTGGAGGTGGCCAAGGGAGACCAGATAACCGCGTGGAACAGGTAGGAGTAAATCAAACGTCTTCAGGAGCTCACACTCGCTGAAGGGCCTTCCTGACCCTCTGCAGGCCTCTGGATCGAGGGCGCCTGCAGCTCGGATGGAGCTAATCACACAGCAGGGGCGGGAAGACGGAATCCCGAAGAAGTCCATGTTGCTCAGCCACTCAGCTTTCACCCCATGCTAGCAACACCTGGACCTGTTTCTGCCGAGGAGAAAGATGCACACTTCTCCCGTTCACGTGGCCAAGGTAATGTTAACAAACGTTCTGTTCCTTAGTAGGTGGAAAAATCCATTCTCTGGGGTAATCAATTTAATTCTTCCTCCCCAACAGAACCAAATAGCATTAAAGTTGTCAAGTTTAATCAAATGTGATACCAGAGGTAGTATGTCACCTCCTGAAAATTCAGGAACCACACAACTTAATCCTGGGCTCTGCTGTAAGTTTATTATTCTAGGCAAGTCCTAAACGGGGCAGTTGAATAACATGCTTGTTAAGGTGCTTACATACTCTGATAACACACACACACGCAGAGACAGATACACACACAGACACACACACACAGAGACACACACACACAGACACACACAGATACACACACACACAGACACAGACACACACACAGAGACACACACACAGACACACAGATACACACACAGACACACACAGACACACATAGACACACACACCACACACACACACACCACACAGACATAGACACACAACACACACAGACACACACACACAACACACACACACAGAGACGCACACACAGACACACACAGAAACACACAGACGTAGACTCACATACCAGACACAGACACACACACACACAGAGACACACAGATGCACACAGAGACATGCACACAGAGACACACACAGAGACACACACACAGACACACACAGACACACATAACACACACAGACACACACAGACACACAACACAGAGATCCGCACAGACACACACAGAGACACACACACCCAACACACACACATACACAGACACACAACACAGAGATCCGCGCACACACACACACACACACAGACACACACAGACACACACAACACACACACATACACAGACACACAACACAGAGATCCGCACACACAGACACACACAGAGACACACACACACACACACACACACACTGCATCTGCTCAGGTTTGACTTCTGAGCTTACGGTTCAGAGCTGGGAGTTCTTCAAGCACCAGACAATGAGAGAGGGTGACAGTGGGGCCAGGGATGGAGGGTGATTGAGGCAGAAGTGACAGGAAAGAGAGAGAGGGTGAGAGAGAGAGAGACATTAAAAACAGCACGCTGCCAAACTACGATCCAGTAAAACCAGGGTGTGCGCAAACCAGGGTGGGGAGTCAGCGACCAGCGATGAAACTGGAAAAGTCAGCAGGTTTTGAGTACCAAGCAAGGGCACGAACCCCAGAACTGAAACCCTCGTATGAAAAGCGCCACAGTGCGATGTACACAGAGCAGGGGTAACATCTGGCCCTCGGATCTGCCACAGTCCACTGAGTCACAACACGTCACCACCATTCTCGCGGCAGCGCTTCTCCTGTGTGGTAGATCCAGGGGAAGACAAAGTACTTCTCTACCACACACAGGGAACAGAGCACGAGACAGCCGTGTGCTCCAGAAAAATGAGAGAACGCGCTTGGCCTGCTTTTCCCATCTGTTACCGGCCGGGCCCTCACACACACCTGAGTAAGGAACAAACAGCAGATGGAGAGGCAGTCGGTAGCTGTGTGGTGACCTGCAAGGCGGTCTCTCCCTGGGCCTTGGTGTCTCAACTCTAAGATGACAGGATTCCACATGTAATTATTTTGGGGGTGCCTCCTGTGTGGTGAGATCTTTGCTGAGAATATAGAGATGAAAGACCCCACTCTCTGCCCATAAAAGACCCATGACCTGGAAGAGAATAAGGGGAAGTGGGGACAGAAATAAAACTACAGAGCAGCGGGTGTGGTAGGGGCCTGGTGGCACAATGGCTAAACAGCTGGCCGCTAACTGAAAGGCTGGCAGTTTGAACCCACCCAGCGGCTTTGCAGGAGAAAGACCTGGCAATCTGCTCCGGTAAAGATTAC